AGGGTCCTCTTTTTTTATTTATGAGATATGGTAACCCTAAGTTATGTAACAAAAAAAAGACATTCGTAAGTTGCACTTTCACAATAAAGAGATTGCACCTCAGTACTTGTATGAGGTGAATTGAAAAATACTATTTCTTTATCATTTTTACAGTGCAAATATTTGTAATAAAAAATAATATAAAGTGGGCACTGTACACTTTGTATTCTGTGTTATATATTAAATCAATATATTTGAAAATGTAGAAAAACATCCAAAATATTTAATAAATTTCTATTGGTATTCTATTGTTTAACAGTGCGATTAAAAGTGCGATTAATCGTGATTAATTTTTTTAAATTGTGATTAATTTTTTGAGTTAATCGCATGAATTAACTGTTATTAATCGACAGCTCTACTAGAAAGTTATGAAATGGACACAGCACACATTAAATGGATGAAAAGCTGGCTAACAGATAGGTCTCAAAATGTAATTGTGAATGGCGAACAATCATTGAATGGGTGTGTTTCTACTGGGGACCCTCTGGGATTGGTTCTTGGCCCTATTCTATTTAACATTTTAATGAATGACCTGGAAGAGGACGAGTCACTGATTCAGGGCAATCTGGATCACTTGGTAAACTGGGTTCATGCAAACAATACATATTTTAATATACCTAAATGCATACGACTAGAAACAAAGAATGTTGGTCATACTTTCAAGATTCTGGGACTCTCGGAAGCAGTGACTCTGAAAAAGATTTGGGGGTCATGGTGGATAATCAGCTGAACATGAACTTCCAGTGTGATGCTGAGGCCAAAAGGGCTAATGCAATCCTGGGATGCATAAACAGGGGAATCGAGTGGGAGCAGAGAGGTGTTTTTACCTCTGTATTTGGCACTGGTGTGGCCACTGCAGGGATAATGCATCCAGTTCTTGTGTCCACAGTTCAAGAAGGATGTTGATAAATTGAAGAGGTTCACTGAAGAGCGAAGAGAATGGTTAAAGAATTAGAAAGCCTGTCTTATAGTGAAGACTCAAGGAGCTCAATCTATTTAGCTTAACAAAGAGAAGGTTAAGGAGTGACTTGACTATAGTCTATAAATATCTACCTGGGGAACAAATAGTTAATAATGCCTGGAAGTTGAAGATAGACAAATACAGCCTGGAAATAAGGAGTAACTTTCTAGCGGTGAGAATAATCAACCATTGGAATAATTTACCAAGGACCATGGGGGCTTCTCCATCACGGACACTTGAAATCAAGATTGGATGTTTTTCTACAATACCTGCTGTAGGAAATATTTTCGGGGCAGGTCTCTGGCCTGTGTGATACAGCAGGTCAGACTAGATGACCTTGGAAACTATGACTCTATAAATGCGAGCAGTGGACAGACTTTGACCCATTGCTCTCTGAATGAGTGGACCAATGAGAAAGCAGCACAGTACCTAGCAGTGGCTCTGGATGGTGACGCGAAAGCCTTTTACCTGCAGCTTCTCAGTGCAGATCATGGATCTTACAGACAGCTATGCAAACACTTATACAACCGCTATGAGAGGGGATTGGCCTGTCTGAAACACT